CAAGCCCAGACTTTGCGATGTCTCAATCGGGTGCGGGACTGGAGGGCGCAGATACGTTTAGTGAAGCAGGACGGGCGACGCCTTCTGCTCGCTCTTTCCTTTGCTGGCTGGAAGCGTCGCGGTTTCGAGGACCGCGCGGCCCACCTCCAATGGCACCACCACCGGATGCTTGAGGCGGCGATGCTATCTCATGAGTACAGCCTCAGTCGCATTGCCCACAACTCTGCCAAAAAAGACAAGGTGCGTCACTTTCTGCTACTCACGACGTCTGCAGTCGACCTGTGGCACAGCGAAGGGCGCGCCATGGAAGCTATCTCCAAACTCCGCTGGGCGTCTCGTCGTGCGGCGGAGCGACGAGCGGTCTACGCCGCTGGCGGCTATAACATTGAGAGTGAGTTGGAGGAACAGTTTCGGGCCCAGGAAGGGGGCCGGGCAGTGACTCCGGACCAGATTCATGCTGCTCAGCTCTCCTGGGCGAGGTCTGAAGCCACTAGTTGTCCCCAGGCGGTCCCGACGCTCCTTCAAATGGAATCAGCCTGTCGAAGGCAGCAGGGGGGGAAAGCGCCCGGGCCCGACCTTGTACTCAACGAGCTTTGGTGCCACTTCCCGGCACACGCAGGGATTTGGTTTTGGCAGATCTGCACCAGTGCTGCGCTCACAGGCCGTGAGCCGCCCCAGTTCAAATTAGCGCTGATTTGCGCCCTTTACAAGAAGGGCCCCGCGGCCTTGCCCCAAAACTACCGCTCCATCGCGCTTATGAATGGTATGGCAAAAGTGTACCATGGGCATTTACGTCGTGGCATCGGGCACTCGATCTTGCATCAATACCAAGGCCTCCAGTTGGGAGGGCGACCCGGAATGCCGGTCCATTTTGCTGTGACCGCCTTTCGGTGCGGGTGGTCCTTAAGCACTGAGGTTCAGCGTAGTGTTGCGGTACTGTTTGTGGACATTCGTGCTGCTTACTATGAAGCGAACCGGGACCTCATTTTCGATGGGGGCACTCTCTCCTGGACGCCGGGCGCTCACCGTCTGCAGCACCTGGGTGCGTTAGCTGACCAGTTAGGCCGCGAAGGAGCACTGCAGCTTCTTGGGGTTCCACCTGAGGAAATCGCCCTGCTCAAGGACTGCGTCGCGTGCGCACACTGGCACTTGGCAGGTTCGGATAGGCTTTTCCTTGCTACCCGGGGGTCTAGGCCGGGGGATGGGTTAGCAGATATTCTTTTCGGCTCGCTCTTTGCCATCGCACTTCGCCATATCGAGGCCACCTGCCAGCAGGAAGGACTTGCCTGTCACGCCGCTTGTGTCGCTTCTGGTTCCATACCGCGACCATTGCAGGTCGGATGGGCTGATGACCTGGCAGTCATCACCGACTATGCTAGCCCCCGCGAACTGCAGCAACTCTTCCCAAGGGTTGCAGAGATTGTTATCGATACATTTCACGCTATGCACTTCTCTGTGAACCTGGGAGCAGGGAAAACAGAGGCACTTCTGGATATCAGAGGTGCTGATGCTAAAGCTGTGCGCGGGGAGCTGCTCGGATCCGCGACGCCATTGCTCCTTCCCAACGGTGCCGAGTTGCGACTCACCCCGGAATATAGGTACCTCGGTGTTATTCAGCACCCTAAAGATAATGGCCGCAGGGACATCGAGCTTTGTGCACAACGGGGACGGACTGCTTGGGCCCATGGCCGCAATTTGCTTAGCGGGGAGGCCCTGCCTTGGGCGTTACGGCAAGCATGGGTAGCCGGCAGGATCCTCCCGGCTGCGTATGCGACGATTGCCACGTCTGTCGCGGTCTCTGACAGAGCCACTGCGCCTCTACAAGGTTTGTTTGAGCGCCTTGCTAGGGTAGTTTGCAGTTCATGGAGGTTCGGCCACCACCTACACCGTTCGGTTTTGTTTTGTCTCCTTGGACTTGCAGCTCCAGAGCATGCGGTTGCGATTGCGCGTACCCGGCTGGTTGTCCAGCTCGTTGATAAGGCTCCCGCCGAGGTGTGGTCCCTTTTTGATGCTGCGTGGAATCACTCTGTGCCTTGGTGCGAGATGTTGGCGGATGCATGCAAGCTTGTAGCTCGCAATGTTGCTGGAGCATGCCGGCAGTATGTCCCTACTGCCCTCGCCTTTGTGAGGGAGAATAAGCGGGGGCTTCAAAAGGCCTGCAAATTCCTCAGTCGTTGGGGTACACTGCAGTGGTCGTTCTGGGCCCTGTGGCAAGCTCTCTCCGGGCCCAAGCAAAAGCGTGTCCTCGGTTCTGCAACCCCCCACACATGTGCCATTTGCAATACGGTCCTTCCCAGCGCCCATGCGCTTGCTGCGCACGTCCATCGTAAGCATTCAGTCGTTAACTGGCTTACTCGCTTCACACACGGGACTGTGTGTCTCTGGTGTCATACCGAGATGCAATCCACTGATAGACTTAAGTACCATCTGCGCACCTCTCCACTTTGTGTCCATGGGCTTCGGGTCACAGTTGGCGAAGTGTATGAGTATGGCACTGGGACACGCCGGGGCGGTCCCCGACGTCATCGTGGCATCCCGGCGACGAGGGTCCCCGGCCCTTGCAATGCCACCCCCGCACAGCGCCGCGCTTCGCAAGAAGGGAGACTCTGTTCTGATGCTGAGCTCGCTCAGGAACTGCATGCAGTCACTGGAGCTTGGAACCCTTTTGATTGGCCGGTCCCTCAGCCCAACAATGGGATCGGCAATCGGGGGCCCTTGGTTGCACCCGCTGGAGTCCGTGCCGCACTCTACCACCCCGCTGGAGATGGTGACGCCGGCGGGTCTGTTACTCGCGGCAGTCGCCCTGATGGCGCTCCGCGGTTAGCCGCACACCCTGAGGGTCATTTGTCCTCGTGTCACTGGCGATGTCGCTTTGATTACTCTGAATCCGCTGAGGCTTGGCACGTACCATCCCCCCTGTGGTCTGCTTGGTCTTTCTCTCATGTTGTCTGGCAGCTTCCCAGGTCGTGGCACCGTTTCTGGGGGTGCTGGAACGCAGCTGATCTCTCCCATCCTTGGGACGCTGCTGCCACCCGTGCTTTCCGGACCCTGCGCCTGAGCGCCTCCGTGGACTCGTCGTCATCGCGTGAGCCGCCCGTTGCATTGCAGTGCCTGCTGGCTGCTACGGTCACGTTGCGCCAGGTGTGCGCGCGGGTCTGTGCTGGCGGTGCCCTCTGGCTCTGGGGTGTGCCTAGCCCAGATGGTCTTGAGCTGCTCCGCAGGCTGCTCCCTCGGGCTCTGTTTCGGACTGCCCACCTTCCTGCTGGCTCGCTGTTTGCTGCACAGCATCCCGCATGCCCGGCCGCTTGGTGGTCTGATCTTCATGCCCTGTGCTCTCCCCTGCCCTCGGGCCGTTCTCCTCCGGTCCGTCCTTTGCGAGCCTCTTTCATCTTCCGCACGGAGTCGCTGGGTCGCGCCTAAGGTGCCTCTCGCCTCCGTGCCTTTTGTTGAGTTTGCCCGCGTCGTTCCATAGTGGTTCGCGCTTTTCGGGCTGCACGTCTTAGGTTGCTCCGGACTCGTACCGATCAGCAGTGAAGTGAAGTGAAGTGAAGTTTAGGGTGTAGGGTTCAGTAGTATCCTTCGGCAGTTTTGTGTTTAATCCTAAGGGTCCATGTGCCCAAGTTGTATATGGTTTGGCCCCAACGTACCTACATAGGGAATACTTTAGGCCAGAGTATATAGTACTTGAGCACATGGACGCTTAGGGTTAGGGTTCAGTTACAAAAACTCAATACCAGGAACCAACATACCTTTTTTGATTAAGGAAGCACTGAGCAACCTAGGCTCCCTGAAACGAACGCTGTTGAGTTCGGCTGTAGGACTTCAGGAGTTGGGGGATTCAGGGGTGTAGGGTTTAGGGTTCACGGTTTTAGGGTTAACCACAGCTGCTTGGGTGAAGCATAACCACTTCAGAGGTTTTCGGACATTGCGGGAATAAACAGGCCTTAAGAAACCGCGATGAAATCGACTTATGAGGTGTCTCCTCGTAAATGTGATGACCTTATACTGTTTATGAGCGGGGATCGTGTTTCTATGCGCTTTTCTTTAGGTTTAGGGATGCATAGGTCCACCCCCGCCTAAGTGTATGCAACTTAACCCGCCGATCCCCTGAAAAGAACTGACGGTTCAGGGTCTGGGGTCAGTGCTTTTTGGAATATTCCGAATGTCATGTCGTAGTAACATAGTACTCGGCAGGAGGCCGTTTCAACTGCGGGAGATTATTTCAGTCTCTGGGTGGTTCAGGGTCTGGCATTATGCGCTCTAGTGGTTCAAGTCTCCAGCATTTCAGGTATACAGTAGAAGCCAGAAAGTTGGAACATCATTGTCCTCATGCCCTTAAGGCAAGGTAGAGGGAATCCTAGCACTAATCATCCTAAGCTCATGTTCCAACTTTCTGGGGCTCACTATAAGCTGTTGCAGACGTGGAGGAACAAGGGGTGTTGGTTGGGTTTGGGCTCGGGACTGGAACTCGGCCCCAACCTGGGTGCTGTTAACGAACTTCACTAGGTTGGATTTTGGGACATTTTTTATTTTCCTTCCTTGGGTTTATAAGGGGCCCTGTATATAACTATTTTCAGGGTGTTTAAAGGCCAACCCAGTTCATTCTAGTTACGATATGTCATTGGGAAATCGTGTCTTTGACTATAGATCCCTATTATCATGGGGTTTAGGGTCTGGGGCTTGCTGTGGATCCCTATGCTGGTAACTTACATTAACCGCAAACCGCAAACCTTAAGCCCTAAACACTAGGTTCTCCAACAAGAGCCCATAAACCCGCCCTAAACCCTAAATCCCTAAACCCTAAACCCCTAAACCACTAAACCCCTAAACCCTAAACCCCTAAACCCTAAATCCCTAAACCCTAAACCCCAAAACCACTAAACCCCTAAACCCTAAACCCCTAAACCCTAAACCCTAAACCCCTCAACCCCTAAACCCTAAACCCCTAACCCCTTAAACCCTAAACCCTAAACCCTAAAGACATCCCTCGGCCCGCTGAGGTATGCATCCTGATGCTCTACAGGCCAGGGTATAGGGTTAGGGTTTATCGGTTTTGGGGCTTCAGGGTTTCATGATGTTAGGGTTTATAGGGTTTAGGGCTTATAGGCTTTTAGGGCTTAGGGGATTCAGGGTTTCGGTGTGTTTTAGGGTTTAGGGTGTGCAGTTACTGGGGGCCATGGTTTTTTTTTTTCGAAGGTGCGGCCAACCCTTGTTTGCGAGGTGCGGCCAAGGGTCCCTGGTGCATGCGGTCCCCTGGTCCTCTGGTCCTTGGTCCTGTAGTCCTCTGGCCCTCTGGTCTGCTGGTCCTCTGGTCCCGTGCTCTCCTGGTCCCGTGGTTTCCTGGTCCTACGGTCCGCCAATCCCTCGGTCCCGCAAAAGCAACAAAAAAGCAAACAAGTAATAACACAAATAAAGCACAACCCCAGAAGAAAGAAAAGCAGAAGAAAGATGATGAAGGAAAGAACGCCAGGAAGGAAGCACAAAAGAAAGCAAGAAAGCACAGGAGCTAGCAAGGAATGAAAGAGAAACAAGAACGGGAACCCATTTTTGTTTGTGCCCTTTTTGTTTGGCCCTCTTTCTTTTGCTCCCACGTCCTGTTATTTACACAGGGAAGGAAGAAAGCAAGGAAAAAAGGAAGGAGGAAGGAAGGAAGGAAGGAAGGAAGGAACAAGGAAAGAAGAAGGGAGAGAAGGAAGGAAGCAAGGAAGGAAGGAAGGAAGAAAGCAGGGAGACAAGGAAGGAAGGAAGGAAGGAAGGAAGAAGGATCGAAGGAAGAAAGGAAAGAAGCAAAGCAAGGAGGGAGGAGAGCAACGAAGGAAGGAAGGAAGGAAGGAAACAGGGAAGGAAAGAAAGAAGGAAGAAAGGAAGGACGGTAGTATTTCAGTAATATATATATATATATATACATAGTATACATAGTACATGTTGTATATAAAATATGTATACTATATATATATATATATATATAGTATGTACAGTAAGGATAATATATTATAATATAATATAATGGAATATAATATAATATATGAATAATATATAATGTAATAAAATATAATTTAACATAATATAATATAGTATAATATAACATAATGTAATCTAATATAATGTAGTATAATATAATATAATGTAATATAATATAATGTAATGTAATGTAATATAACATAATATAATAAAATGTAATATAATGTAATATAATGTAATATAATGTAATATAATGTAATCTAATGTAGTATAATATACTGTAATATACTACAACATAATGTAATATAATAAAGAAATACAATATAATATAAAAAGATATAATATAATATAATATATTAGAATAGAATATCATATAATAGAATAGAATATCATAAAATAGAATATCATAAAATAGAATAGAATAGAATATCATATAATATAATAGCATAGAGTAGAACATAATAGAATATAACAGAATATCATAGAATATAATAGAATATCATAGAATATAATAGAATATAATATAACATAAAAGATTATAGGATAATATAATGGAATTTAATAGAATTGAAAAGAATATAGTATAATGTAATATAAGAGAATAGAATAGACTAAAATAGAAAAGAATATAACATAAGAGAATATAATATAATATATACAGTATATAGAGTCTATATAGTTTGTTCATATACATATATAGAGTTTATTTATATATATACTATATATAGTATATATAATATTATATATAGTGTATATAGTATATATAGTATATTTAGTGTACATAGTATATATAGTATATATATATATATATACAGATAAACATAGAGTTTCAATATATATATATATATATATATAGTATATGTAATAAGTACAGGAGATATAACCTTAGTATATATAGTTTATACAGTATATATAGTATATATAGTATATTTATAATATATACATATTTATATAGTATATGTAGTAGAGTTAGTATATATAGTATATGTATATAGTATATATAGTAGATATAGTAGATACTATAAAATTGTATGTATATATATATATATATATATATAGTATATATAGTGTAAATAATATATATATATATATATATATATAAATATTTATAGTATATATATATACACACAGGGAGAGAGAGAGAGAGAGAGAGAGAGAGAGAGAGAGAGAGAGAGAGAGTACATATGTGTGTATATAAATATAGATACATATATATATATATATATATGTATATATACATATGGAAGGCCTATTATTTTGGATCTTGTTGTTGAAATTTTTGTTTGGTGTTTTTCCATGGTTTTCCTTGGGGAAACACTATTTTCCTCACGTTTTGGACAGATTTGGTGTGATTTTCTTGGTTTTTTCCACCTGCAACGAAAAGAACCCAGGAAGACAGAACGAAACACCCCAGAACAAGGACCAAAGCAAGGAAGAAGAACAGAAAGAAAGAAAAGATAGAAGGAAGGCAGACGGTTGGAAATTCAGGTTCGGAACCCAGGTTCAAACCTGGGTTTGAACCTAGGTTCTAATTCGGGTTAGAACCCAGGTTCAGAACACGGATTTTCTCGGGTTGTTGATTCAGCGGGGTTAAGCGCGAAGCAACACAATCAATCATGAATGACTTGGAAGTTCTCTTGAGCCACGAAGTAATCAACAATAACGTGTTTGCCAACCGGTCGTTTGAGCCGCCACGAAATAAATAAAACCGTGTTCGCCAACACAAAAAAAGAATAAAACCAGACAACACTGCTTCAGGGGGGTTTAACGTGAAGAAGACAAAATCAATCCTGAAGGATTTAAAAGGTTTGCAAATGGGGGGGGGGCTGCGCCCCCCCCACCCCCCCCGCTTTTTTTAGACTAAACTCCCCCGCTCTCTAAAGCCACACAAGAAAGGGAAAGCCAGACAACCACGCTCCAGGGGAGTTTACCGCGAAGAAAGCACAATCAATCCTGAAGGGTTTAACAGCTTTGCAAATAGGGCGAGTTCCCCCCCCAAACCCTCGCTGTTTTAGACTAAACTCCCCGCTCTCTAAAGCCGCGAAGAAATGAACATAAACGTATTCGGCAACACACAAGAAGCGGAAAGCCAGACAGCCACGCTCCAGGGGGTTTAACGCGAAGAGCAGCAACAACAACAGCAACCAAGACGACGACCACGACGACATCAACGACCCCACCACCACCAACGACGACAGCAACGACATCAACGACACCACCACCGCCACCAAGGCAAATAGTCTTGGAAATGGCTGCATTTCCCATTATTTTTTCTTTAGTTTTTCGTTGATCCCTGGATCTAATTTGTTTTTGATGATGAGTTTTTTGATGCCTCACCCCGTCCACAGGGATCCTGCCCCTCGAAGCGCCCGCGCTGTGGTGCGGCGCGACCCCGATGAACCCTCTACAGGGATTCTGTGTGTCGAAGCGCTGGCGCTGTGGTGCGGCGCAAATTCTTTACGTCGCCGATGAACCGTCTACAGGGATCCTGCGTGTCCAACCTGAACAAATCCTTGGCCGCACCTCCGAAAAAAGAGGGTTGGCCGCACCTCCGAAAAAAAAAAACCCCCCGCCAGTTACTGGGCGTGACCTACTTTTCTTGTGCGGTCCTGCCATCATAAAGATTCGTCAGCGGACCTTGGTATGAGAAGGACCGGAGGGGCTTGCTCAGGTTGGTTTTCCAACATGTGTGAAAATGCGGGTTGGGCTGGCATGGGGTCGGGAGGCGAATATCACCTAGGCCCCCCAACTATCCTCTATCGTACAAAAAACACACTGACAAGACTCGTAGGACCTCCATTAATATAGGGGTTGGCAAGCCCTGAACCCCTAAGCCCCAAAGCCTTAACTCCGGGCCCCTCGGAAGCAAAAAACGAGAAGTGCAGGTCGATAAAGCGGTTTAGGGTTTAGGGTTCACAGACTCCACGGCAGTCCTCTGGGACCTTCGGAAAGCTCCCTGAAAGTAGATGCGAGAAACCAGCAACCAGTAACCTGCATCAAGAACCTTGGGAACCCCTTAGGAAACCCTAGCTGTTTAAATTACTGTTGATGATATAAATCCTGCATGACCCGTAATAAGGAATATACCATAATTCCCATATATTCCTTATTCTGGGTAAGCAGGATTTATATCATCAACCGTAGTGTTTAGTTTCAGGATTTGGTGGGTTGTGGGCTGGAGGGTTTGCCGCTTTGGGTTTTACCCATTGGTTTGAGGATTTACGGTGTCAAGTCACGCAGGTCATTGAAACAGAAGGGGTCGCTCGTGGGAGGCCTACAACAGTGCTCGACATCCCAAAAAAAAGTGAAACAACGTCGGAACTTCCAATGTGCAAGGTGGCATGCACTCTGCAGGCATTTACCAGATGGTCTTGAACCTAGCTGGCCATTGCGGCTCCATGACGCTGACATGATGCATGGTTTGAGCTCGCATCGTTTTCATGAGTTTGAAAACGATATCTAGCCCACTGTATGTGAAATCTTCGCGGCTAACTTGTAACTTGGAAGTGAAGAACCAATAGCGTTTCCGAAGTCGGTGCATCACGCAGCTTGTGCCATGTGTGGTGGTGAACAGATGACCCAAGTCCCGTTTCGCATACATTCCCTCAAAACTTTCGCGGCCGCTCAACTCGAGAGACTTGGATTTTCGCAACATGATCCAGGGTTCGTTGCCCTTGTTTGTCGGGATTCTTCTTTTGGGTTGGGGGTGTCGGGGGGGATGATGACGTTCAGGATTGGAATCACGATGTTACTGTTTGCGAAGATGCTACTAATGATGACGATGCCACTCTTGACCATGCTGATATGATTTGTTTGAGGCTTCATGATGACACGAGAGGCATGTACTGTTGGGTTTGACGACATGATGACGACGACATGATGACGGCTCGCTTGGTGACTGTCGGGGTTCATCAGGTGTATGAGAAACTTACGAAAATGCTGCCAGGCACGATGAATTTAGGATTCGACAAGGCTGAAAGTTGGGAGAAACCGTTGTGATGTGGCAGAGTGACGGCAGTGCACACGCAAAATACGCATTTCTTTGCAGCCAATTGCTCGAACCAACCCCATTTCGAACCATCGCACTCCAAGTTTCGACCTCCCGAATCGATCCTTTTAAAACCGCAAATAATTACAACGATATCACGTCGCAACAGTGTCTCCTGTCGTCCATGCAACTTTCAGTCTTGTCGAGTCCCAAACTATTGTGCTTGCCAGGATTTTCGTAGGTTGCTGATACACGCGATGAAGCCCTACAGTCACCATGCGAGCTAGAGCTTTGTTGAAACATGCCATCGAAATCGCAAAACCTGCGCGCGTACATGCCCTACACGTCCATGATTCAGCATCTTGTGGGCTTGCACCCCATGCGTACACGTACGGCTGATGAAAGTTTTGACGCCGTTGCATGCTATCCGGCCGCGAGCGCGCCAGATTTGGCTGAAGTATGCCTGAAATGCAAGAATTATGCCACAATAATGTCATTCTATTGCAACTTTCCAACACGTTCAACATGCGAAGTTGCTGAACCGCTCCTGGCGCTCCTGATTTCTCACATCCTCAGGCCCCAGCCTTTTAGTTGTTGTGTTGCAATTCGTCTCCAAGTTGGAGATATGCCTGCGGAGTACAATGATAGTATCGCACCGCATGTTGCGTAGAACAGATGAGCTTAGCAAGAACTGTATCATTCCGAGCAAGTCTGTACTTAATCTGGTTGTAAAGGCTCAGTATAGTTATAGTAGTATCACCAATAATTTGCCATAATTCTAACCCGTCATGCAGCATGTATACCCAGAGTTTCCAGCAGAAGGTGAAGCACACCTTGGGCGCCGTAATTGCACAAGCATTGCAGACATCTAACGGATGACAGCAGTCGGAACTATGTTAGAAGGTTGGGCTGTTTTGCTGTCGACTGTTTAACTTGTGGCTTCTGGCAAGCTTTTTCGCAAAGCAGAACCAGTCACCCAACACCAGAAATAATTTTCATCTTTCAAAGTTCCAGCTCTTGTGAAGAAAGATTCAAGATGAACAGTTTCTTCATGTTGTACGCGCTTCCAGAACAATCCCATCAACGCAACAGCATAACTGTAGCCATCCATGTTCACAGGCGCCGCCCTTGGTTGAAACCACTGCGCTGGCCGCCGGCAAGGTCTGCGCATCTGGTTTGGCTCATTTCAGCAATAGAGGAGATCTCTGTCTAAATGCTTCATGAGATTGTCGGATGTGGGTTTGTTCAAAGGGATGTGGGGTTTAGGCTTTGGGGATAAGGGTTTAGGGTGTGCTGGGCTGTATGCAGGCTCAGGCTCCGAAGGCATGTCGAGCAGGACAACCAATGCCCTGAAACCTAGACTGTGGACCCGACCTAAAATTTGAATTAAGTGAATTGAATCTAAAAGACATTACGTAAGAAAGCTATATAAAGTAAACGTGGAGTTGTTTTTTCTGTGAAAGCAGAAGACAGCAACAACACATGGTTATTGGACCGACAGAACATATAGATCGAGCGCCGTTCCAGATGAACTTGACGATTTTTATCCTTATGATGAACGCCGAAAACGATTCAAGCAGCTGTTTGAGGTTTAACAGCTAGAAGCTTTCTTAAAATAGTGTTATACAGATTAATGTATATCATTTGATGACAGTGCCACCAGATTTGCTTCGTAATGGTCCAACTAGTTTGTTTCGTGCTTGTGGAAGAAGCTGAAGAAAACAGCCCTAATGGTCTGGGAAATCAGCTGCAATAGTGGGTCCGCTGATTAATTGGGGCTCACGGTTTGTGGTTTGAAGTCCCTTACCTTGGTGGCTGGTGGCCCCCGTTCGAGAAGACCGAGGAGCCGACGTCAAAGGGTTCTATAATTGCTCTATGATGGGGGATAAAGATTCAGTGTTGGGGTTCAAAAAAACCGAGAGCCTACGATATCTCAGCACCAGACTAGCACGCTCGGAAACCAAAGGCGTGGAAGGGAAAACTCCAGATCCAAAGCCCTAAAGCCTAAACCCGAAGTTCGCAGAAAGTGAACCACCCGTAGCCACGGGGCCTTTCACCCCCCCAAGCAAAATGTGCTGCCAAGCCTTCCTGCGTAACTCCAAACCTAAAGCCCTAAACTCCATTCCCCAGGTCCCAGTCCCTAAACCTTTCTGGGTTCTGGAAGACAACAAGACCCCATAACCTAGAGCTTGGACTACCAATTACCAGTAGCATTCCTTAAAAGTCATCGTCCATATACACATAGTTTATTGCAGGCTGTACAATCGTGTACCACCTAACCCTATTCATGTGATGAAGACATGTCCACTAAAGGCGTATTTTAACTCTCCTAGTGAACCTCTTAGAAAAGAATCCTTGACGCAAGCTTTTTTGATGCCTAGAAAAGGAATCCCTGAAGGAATGCTCGAACAGGAATCAGGTCTAAAAGCACTACTTAAAGGAACCTTCGATTTGAAAGGAGTCCTTCAAGTGGTCTGAAAGGAATCCTTAAACGAACTTTAGGTCTGAAGGGAATCCTTAAAGGAACCCTGGGTCTAAAAAGGAATCCTTAAATAATGAGTAAAGCCCCGGCACTAGGAGCGTCGACTACTCCTCCGAGCCACTGCCTCGGCTTCTTCCTGGGATCATGGTCTGAGCTGGTGTTGGGTTTAGGGTCGTTTGGGGTTGAGGATTTAGGCGGGGGGTTTCGGGCTTAGGGGGGGGGGTTTAGGGTTTTGTGGATCTGCGGATCCTAAACCCTAAACTCCTAAACCCTAAACCCTAAACTCCCAAGAAAGTGATAAATAGAAATTGCTTGTCTTTGTTTGTAACCACCGGTGGGGCCCAGCATTTCGGTGTAAAATGGAACTAGCATCTTGATAAACCAATTTCGCACAATCACAACCTCAACCGTTAACTCAGCCCAGCCAGCTCAAAACAGCCCACCGGTCAAAAACGGAACAAGCTTCTTGATACACCAATTTCGCACAACCACGACCTCAACCTCTAACTCAGTCCAGCCCAGCCAGCCCAGTCCAGCCCAGCCCAGCCCAGCCGGCCCAACACACCGATTAAAGATTGAACAAGCTTCTTGATAAACCAATTTCTCTACAAACTTGTAGCCACCATTGCGACCAAATACACCGCTTAAAATCGAACAAGCTTCTTGGTAAACCAATTTCTCCGCCCGCGCAGCCCAGCCCAGGCCAGCCAGACCCCAAATCCAGCCCAGGCTTAGCCCCCCAAACCCCAAACCAGGCCACAAGGCCCAGGAGCAGGCCCAACCCAAATCCGCCCCCAAACCCCAAATCCAGGCGAACCCAGGCCACAAGGCCCAAGAGCAGGCCCAACCCAAATCCAGGGTCCCAAATGCAGGCCCCAAATCTAGGAGGGCCCAGGCCCAAAAACTCCAGGCCCGGCCAGGCCAGGCCCCAAATCCACCAAACCAGCCCCCCAAACCCCAAATCCAGGCCCAAATCCAGGCCCCGCCCCACCCCTCCCAAGGTTGGGTGCCGGCATGCCAAGCCCAGAGCCAAAACATCTCCCCAATTTTCGGTCAAAACTTTCCCAAATCCGCGCCAGCCCAAATCCGCCCCATTCTCAAGGGCTGCCACAATGGCCAAAATAAGGGCTTTTGTGATTATTTTGTGGATTTGGGAAATCGCCAAATGGCCAATTTTCGTGGTTTTGATCCCATTTGGGCTTTCCCAAGGGCTGCCACAATGGCCAAAACATGGTTTTTTGGCCTATTTTGCGGATTTGGGAAATCGCCAAATGGTCGAATTTTCGTGATTTTGAGCCAATTTGGGCTTTCCCAAGGGCTGCCAAAATGGCCAAAACATGGTTTTGGGCCTATTTTGCGGATTTAGGAAATCGCCAAATGGTTCATTTTCGTGATTATGAACCAATTTCGGCTTTCCCAAGGGCTGCTAAAATGGCAAAAATAAGGGCTTGTTTTCCTATTTGGCGGATTCTGGGAAATCGCAAAATGGCCAATTTTCGTGATTTTGAACCAATTTCGGCTTTCCCAAGGGCTGTCAAAATGTGAACGTCCGCTGGCTTGGCGACATCAACTTAATGGGAGCCAGGGCATCGAGACTACCTGCAAAGAGATGGACGAGAGGACGGGTGCGATCAGACTTAGGCAACCGCATCGACTGGGGTCCCTACCTCCTGACCCAGCCCGGCAGCCACCATAACGACCATTGGGTCCTGCTGAGCGTAAGTGGCAGGCCAGCGTGGGCCAGGCGCATCAACTCGTGCGCGGGCCGGAGCCCCTACGTGGTGGTCCTGAGACAGAAAGACGAGCTGCCTACGCCTGCTTCGCAAGCTCGTGAACGCAGTCGCAGTCCCAAGCCGAGTAGCACTTCATAATGGCGTAGGTAGCAATCTCGAACTGCGCAAAGACGGAAGCGCAGAAAAGCCATGCAAAAGAGACTGCAAGACTTGTCTCTGCCCGACAGCCATCACCGACATAGTAAACGATGAATGCCGCCGCCCAACTAGATCATTTGTCTCTAGCCTGCATGAAGTGCCCAGCACGTAGCTTCAAGCCGAACTGCACAATCCCCCCCCCTCTTCCCGGTTGCCCTTAAGACTTAAGTTTGATTGGATGTGTCGCAACCCAATGGCCCCGAGCCCAGTTCGACTTATTACCAAGCATGCCAACAGCCCAGGGCCAGCTCGACGTAGAGGGAGTGGATGCAGCCTAAAAGTCGGTTTCGACCTAGGAGGTGCGACCTATTACGAGACTATCCAGCAGCCCGACGCCTAGCTCGATTCATCACGAAACAAGGCAATCCAGCATCCCGAAGCCAGGTTCGACCTATTAGGAGGCTATCCAATAGCCCGAAACCCAGTTCGACCTATTACAAAGCAGTTTACCACGAGGCAATCTAGCAACCCGAAGCAGGATTCGACCCATGACGAGGCTATCCAACAATGCGAAGCCCAGTTCGACCTATCACGTAGCAAGTTACTACGAAGCATGCTAACAGCCCGGAGCCCAGTTCGACCTAGTACGAGGCTATCCAACAGCCTGAAGCCAGCTCTGCCTATCACGAAGAGTCACTGCTTTTCCCCCTTCATTAGGAACACCTCGCAACTTACAGGTATCGTTCGGTGCGGCACCACACGAAACATCATCCCTTGCGCGTCTGCGCAGAGACCCCTCATCGAAGTGAATTCTTGGCACATTGGGGCTCAAGACTTTCCGTCATTTAGCTTTCCGCACCCTGGGGCTGCTTGAAAGACATCAACGCCATCTCAATGGATTTCTGGCGCTTCCTAGTGGACCGCACGAGGGGAGATGAGCAAAGGGTTCCTAACCTAGACTTTAAGGAAGCAGCCTTGGCACTGCAGGACGCCCGCCAACAAACTTATCGGGAGCCACAGACGATTCTTCGCTGCCAAATGCTTGTCAAAACAGGCAGTAGCTCGATCGCACTAAGGAAGAGAAAGACGAAGGGAGGGAAGGCGAGAGGCGAGGAATACAACTTCAGTTATGTACCCTGTCGCCGACTTACCAAGGCAGAACCGATGAGCTGAAGATGTGTGTGTGTGTGTACCGGAAGCACAAGAGTGGCCCCATGGAGTACCACCTGCAGGCGCAGCGACGATGCGTAAGTTGCCAGTGCTTCAAACCGAGCATCTCCAGCCTAGCCGGTCAGGTCTTAGCGACCCAGGGCCCAGCTCTGCACATGGAATCTGGACGGATGCTGTGCACTACGTGTACGCACGACCTTGACCACTTCAGCTTGTTCCCCGATCCAAGGCTAGGAACAAGATAGCAAAAATGCAGTAACAGCAGCAGCAGAGAAAGAGAGAGAGGGGTGACGGAAAGGAAGCCGAGGAAGAACAGAGATCCCGAAGCAAGGCAGGGCGAGAAAGACAAACCAGCAGAACAGCCCTTGGCCAGGACAGCGGAGTGGCTTCAGGAAGACCTCTCGGAAGATGAACTGGCCGAGAAACGCACAGCCGTTCCCAAAGGGCGACCGGTAGGGTTCGACTTAGCAAATACACGAGACTTTTGTTGGAGGCACCCTCTCGAGGGAATGAACCCACTACGCAGTTGCTTGGTCTCGTGGAAGGAGCTATCGCCGGAAAAGCTGGCGTGAAACAGCCGATTCCAGAGAGCAATGTTTGCGACTGTGAAAAAGGGCCGAGGGTCTGCCCGGCAGGCCGAAGCCCATTTCTACTTACTCCGAAGAACCTATTCTGCGGCAGAGCAGCCTGGAGCCCTGTTCGACCTAGCACGACACAGACCCGAACCCCCAGATCAGACCGATTTGCACCCATCAGGGAACGGTCCTGAGGTCCAAAAACCAACTAGACCTATAACAAGGCAATGCAACAGGCTCAAACCCAGGTCAACCGGTTGCACAAGCCATGAAAAAGCCCGAGGTCTAGACCGGCCTATTACGAAACAGCCCAGTAGCCCGAAGCGTGACGTGTTCGCAAAAGACCAGCCCCAGCCCCAGGACGGTCAAAACGTTTCGTTCAAAACGTTTCGCTCAAAACGTTTCGCTCAAACCCAGCCCCCCAGCAAATTTGAAAACATGGTTCGCAAAAAAAACTTTCGTTCAAAACGTTTACCAGCATTCCAGGCTTCCAGCCCTGAACAGAGGTCCACGGCACGGGGGTAGGAGACCCGCCCCCACACCAGTCCCAAACCAACCCCCCCCCAGGCCCCAACCCCAGTTCCAAAAGCGCGGCCAACCCCAACCCCAGTTTCAAACTATGGTTCCAAAAAAACCGTTTCGCTCAAAACTTTCGGTCAAAACGTTTCGGTCAAAACTTTCGGTCCAAACGTTATTGGGACCCAAACCCTTAACAATCTCTATTAAACCTTAAACTCCTAAACCCTCAACCCTAAACTCCTAAACTCCTAACCAAACCCTAAACCCTAAACCTTTGGTATTCTGATCCTTTAGGTTGGGTTTGGGGCCCGGGCTGTTTAGGGTGTTGCCTTCAGTCAAGTCACGAGCCGCCGGGTTTGAGGCATAGGATGCTGTTGGTTTAGGATTCTAGGTAGTATTATTAGGGTGACCCCTTAGAGGGTACCCTTTCTGAACCTTACTTCTGGCTCTCTTGAAAGGGGCCTTATTGAGAGGGTCTATATCCCCAAGGGTCCCCCTAATCCTAACTCCCAATTCAGGGTTTAGAATTTTGGGGTTTAGGGTTTGGGGTTGGAATTTGGGTTTAGCTTGTGCATCTACCCTACAAGAGGCACATTGTGATTGTAGGCCTAGGGGGGGCAGAATCCAGACAACAAGCCGCAGTGTCCTCGCGCTTACGGCAAGCATCGACACTCATGACAGTGTTGTCAAAGATGGTCACGAGATGGTGATGATGTCTGCCACATAACGGCCCCCGCCTAAGCCCTAAACTCCAGCTGAAATTGCAAGCGCTACACCCTACATCCTTAAGTCCAGCTTCATTTCCTGTTCCCGGTCCGTCTTGAACCCTGAACTCATAATAAAGCCCATTAGCAAAAGAGATGATACACCATAGAAACCCCATGTAGTATACTTAAGACTAACTTAAGACCCACAACCGTTGTGCGGCCCCTGAACCCCAAAATCTAAACCCTATACCCTAAACTGCCCTAAACCCTAAGAAGAAACCAGGCTGCAGAGCGTGACTACCATGCTGGTGAGGAGTTATTCCTCTGGCACCCAGCCTGACATGAACTTGGGTGCATATTTTGGGGCTTCGGGTTTAGGGGTTTAGGGTTTAGGGTCTATGGTCTAGTGAGTTAATATGAGAGCATTTGAGGTGTCAACAACATGAAGTTTCTGAAAGTGCGAAATAGGTTTCGTATTGTACAGGGTTTTGGTGCATGTGCGGAGTGTACGGAAGCTTCTATAGGAGTTTTGTTGTGCGAGTATTTTGGGCCCGTTTTTGGTAGGCTGGTCACGTCATAACTTTAGCATCCTCCTCACATAAGCTCGCTTGGCTCGACTTGGGGTTCAGGGTTTGTATGTGGTATATAGGAAGCTCGAAAGCCTAGTCTAGTCGCACTCATCCTAGGCAGTCTATACATGACCGTGGCGGGTTGTCTTAGCGCACCGAAAAATCGCATCCTGATGACTGATTTAGTAGCCGCGGAAGTTACCCCGTGTTTTCTCTGAGGGCAGTATTTCACTGTATATCCATAACGGTACTATCATATAATGCTGTCTTATATCATAATGGTATTATAATATTATACTTAAGTTATATGAATCTTATAATGGTAGTATAGTAGTAATATGAGCTATACGTAACCCCCAAAGGATAGCCTTCTTGGAGGGTCGGGGGACTCAGTAAGTAGGTAGTAAGTAGACTTATAAGTACCCCAAAAAGGACCCTAATGGGGGTTATGGTACTTATAAGTCCCTAAAATAACCAGTTACTAAGTCCCCCGACATTATAGTACCCTTATAGATCCCTGATAGTAGCCCCTATAGACCCCGTTAAAAGGAGCCCTTTAAAGGGAACCCCGGGCCCCTAACCAGTTACTAAGTCCCCCGACCCTCCAAGTTGGATTTCCCCAAGAGGGCGGGCTGGGACTCTGCGGCTGCCACGGCCAGCTCGGCCTTGAGCCGTTGTCTTCCCTAAGAGTTAGAATAGGGTTCCTTTAAGGGGTCCTTTAAATATAGGGATCTATAGTAGGGTTCTATAATATAGGGGCCCTAGAATTAGAATTAGAAGAAGGTTTTGGGGCCCACTATACTCTAATTATAATAAGGAGCCCCCAAAAATAGTAGTGGTAATTATTTAGACCCCCCATATTACCTTATTGCCAGACGCAGCACGACACGAACTGTAGTTGGACCTCCACGCCGACTGGCGCATCAGCGTGGAGGAGGCGCAAGTTATGCCGATCCGTGCAAGCTACGCTGGGCATCCTCACATCCTAACTTGTTCGCGCGGGATGGAGATGAACGCGCTCACGATTGCATGCCACATGGTCGGTCATGTTCATGGGGCTTTGCTGCCACAGGCCGCACGACGACGGACGGGTGACGACAGCTGTGGTGTTCAACCGGGAGGACGGCGCCCTCGTCTTTGAAAATGGAGAAGAACGACTACGTCTAAGTAGGACTGATGTTGTGGAACATGTCGAAGAGGGCTTCCGAGACCTAAGGCACAGCTAAAACTACCCTCTCCCAGTTCAGGATCTGCCGCATAAGGTTGGTGACATCGGGCTCAAATTTGGGAAGTCGCGTACATTGTTAAGTCAGACAGCTATAGGGTTTCGATAGGATTTCCTTGGGTTTGCCAGGATAGCCCAGCATCTGCACTAAATAGAAAAGTCTTTGTGCGGCATGCAGCATGGAATGCTGAGCAAGAGTATCTTCTCATGGTCCCTTACACATGGGTAGTTGTCAAAATTAGGGTCCCTTTTGGGGTGCCCTAAATCTGAGATGCCGTACAAAATTAGGGACCCAAAAAGGGACCCTAACTTTGACAACCTCCTACATATACACATAGATACACTCCGACCCCAAGCGCGGTTCTGATTCTCAAGGCCCCGATATTGAACACAGACGTTGATTTGTCGGCTCTTCTGTTTCAGAGCTGGAGGCTTTTGGCTTACGAGGAAGAGTAGCGGCCTGAACAATTAGAATAGGGTTTTCGGGAATATTATACAATACATGTAATAAGGAACCCCCAAAATAGTGTAGGTAATTTTTATTGTTTTATTGAGGCCCCTAGAGTGCGTCATGAGCATGGCTTTGGATTTTGGCACATGGCTTAGGGCTAGGCGTTTGAGGGTTAAGGTGGAGGTGTGCAGGTGCATTGTCAAAGCAAGAAACCGTCATCGTCAGTATGCTTTGAAGTTTAGCAGCCACCTATAATTGCGATGGAATGTCACCGAAATCCTGTCATACTGTTGATGATATAAATCCTGCATGACCCATAATAAGGAATATACCATGATTCCCATCTATTCCTTATGATGGGTAATGCAGGATTTATATCATCAACCGTACTTGTAGCCAGTTATGCCATGTTGTCAGTAGCTGCAGGTGAAGCAAAACCTTCAGCCTCACGAAGCCCCATCCCTACCAACTTTAACGAAAAAATCCCCAAAGACCAAAACCTTAAGCCCCAACTAGTTCCTGAAGTCCCAGGCGCAAAAACCCAAGCCCAAAGACCCTGAACCTGAGCAACCTGCAACCCTAAAACATAAATCAAGCTTTTAATGGAGCCTCAAAGCCCCGATGCCCCCACTCACTCAAGGACAGGGCGTCTGTCCGACAGCGAGCCGGAATCCCTGATTTGAGCGGGTTTTAGTGCTCAGGGTTTTAGGGCTTCAGTGTTTATGGTTTGCGCATTTAGGGTTTGGGGGATTTAGGGTTTGGGGTTTTGGGTTTGGGGTTTCGGGTTTGTTGCACCGCCGCAGCGCGAGTAATGCAAGGTAAGGAAGGAGTGCTGATTGCGCCACTGCAGCTGCAGTGCAGCAAAGGCCCAGCTAAAGCGGGCCATCCCACATATGCATCCTGAATGGGTGAGAGTGCACGTATGGTTGCATGTCTTTCCGAGTCTAGGGGATATGTAAGTTTGTTCGATTCCTCCTTTGTTCATGGCTTGTGCTTTGGGTTGTTGTCTGCATTTGGGCTGCGACAGGGCTCAACATCAACTCGGTCTGACCTTTGAGGGTATAGGGCATAAAGCTCGGGATTGACGGCACCCTGGAAACCCTACACTCAGAAGCGCCGAGGTTATAACTTTCGGGGTTGGAGGCTCCGGGTTTTTGCATAGGACGTTTGGAGATTTACAAGGCCTGGCCTTACAAGTACGGAAGCCCTAGCGAAGCCGACAGTATGCAGAATAATTGCCTTGATAGGTGTTGAGCCATGAGTTTGCATATCTCCGAGGGGGGGGGGGGAGGGGGTTAGGTAGGGCTTAGGGCAACTAGATTGAAAAGACAGTCTCCGGCAATGCTGAGACAAGGGAATTGGAGTTGGGAGCTGGTAGGTGAAGGGCAAAACTTGGCTGGTAGGAGCACCTAACAGGACACTCTCTGGAAAAGGTGCTACTTCGGGTTTCTGCATTACCGTTACACGTCAAACAGCTGCTACTAGTTCGCGACATGATAGTGGAGAGATGTCAGCTTCTCGCCTGGCTTGGGATTCGTGGGATGACCCATCGTGGCAGCGGCCGCCATGCTTCGGTCTTCACGACCACGGAACCGACGGCTTCCACCGAGTGACCCATCGTGGCAGCGGCCGCCATGCTTCGGTCTTCACGACCACGGAACCGACGGCTTCCACCGAGACATTGTGAAGCAGCAGATGGCCGACAGCTACCCCTTCCTCACCGTGGACGGGTCGATGGAGAAGGCGAACTTGAATGCGGCCGACAACTCCATCACCGCGGACTCGTTGTCGTTCGCCGAGGCGAGGAACTGGTTGCACAACGCCCGCAGGGCTTTGGGGTCGGCTGACACCACCGCGACCGATGTCGCCACCATGGCGGAAGTCCATCCGGCCCTGGAGAGCGAGTTGACCAACCGGAGTCTTTGAACACTCATGTGTGATACCGTGATACCTGATTCTGAAACCCGAACCCGAGAACGAGCCCAGATACAGAGATGCACTTCTGGATTTCAAGAGTGCTGAAAGTGGAAGTGTACGCCCTGTTTGCAAGATCAGGGAACAGGGGACGTGGGAGTAGAGGCTACTTTGCTGTGGTACCCTAAACCCTGAACCCCTGAACCCCTAAACCCTAAACCCCTAGACCCTAAACCCTAAACCCTAAACCCCTAAACCCTAAACTAAACCCTAAACCCCAGACCCTCAACCCTAAACCTCGCTACAACCAGGCTCGTGCTGCGGGGCATCGACAGGCCCCATTCCGGATGCAAATAGAACTGGGCTTTGAAGTATCATACTTTAACACTTTTTGGGGGACCTGTTACTTAAAGGGAACCATTATGAAATCAACGTCTATACTTTTTTCTCCCTGGTTACTTCAAAGCCCAGAGAAGCTAGAAGCTGCGATGACCCCAGTGTCATATCTATATCGGTGGTTGTCAAAATGATGGTCCCTTTTTGGGGTCCCTACTATAATACGGCACCTAGTATTTAGGGTACCCCAAAATCGTGTATACCCCGCTAAGTTGGGTTTGGGGATGGCTGGGGTCTGTTGCGTAGGCTCTTGAGCTGAATAGGGTTTAGGATTCAGCGGTTTCGGGTTTAGGGTTTAGGGGTTTAGGGGTTTCGGTTTCGGCTATGGTGTGGACCTCGACGCCGGTTTCCAATTATTCGGGTTCAGGGTTGGAGGTTTGGGGCATCCTGGTCATGGGGGCTTGAGGTTATAGGATCCTTAAGGGAGGGTAGTTCAAGGGGGAGGGTATAAGGAATCCTCAGGGGACTGTAAGGCAACCTTAGGGAGTACTAGGGAGGATTAGGGATCACTAGGCCATATACCCCCCTTGGACCCCCCTCCCTTAAGGATATTACTACAATGAGGGGTTTGGATTCAAAGATTTATATAAAGCAGATCGTTGGTCGTCGTGCAGTCAGTGGTCATAGCACTTTAAGAAGCTAGACAAAAGATGACCTTGCGGGGACTATCTATATCCATACCTTTGTCTATAGCTATATCTATATACATATACATATATAGATGTAGATATGACTAGTTTCGGTTATTATGAACTTGGACAGGTCGGGTTATGAGTTATGAGTAAATCTTCAGGGAAGGGTTGGGGTAAGCACAGCACCCCCTGGTTGAGTCGGCCCTGCCCCTGAAGCAGGTTTGCAGTACAGACCCTAAGACTAAGGCCATTGAGCAAAGGAAGCTTATGAGGCAGCGGGCCTAATTACATAAAGGTTTATTCAGTCTAGGCCTATAGCTCCTGCGACAACATTGCACAACATGCACGGCTTGAAATGCTGCCACAGATGATGCCCAAATCTACTCGCTGCAGCGGTCGGTTCTGAGACCTCAACTTAGACAGCTTCAAAGTCGACATGTTAATGGCCCGTGTCGAACTGCAGATGTCAATCCCAGCTTACAGTTTAGGGCTTAGGGCTTAGAGCTCGACGTGAACACGAAACCCTAATCCCCTAAACCCCAAACCCCTAAACCCTAGACCCTAAACCCTAAACACCCAAACCCTAACTCTAAACCCCTAAAGCCTAAACCCTAAACCCCGAAGCCCTCAACCCTTTGACCCCCAAACGCCTAGGCCCAGCGACCGATAGCTCTTGAACCAAAGATACAGCTACCAAGGCTGTACCCATGGGCTCCATAGTAGTTCCTTTTCGGGATTACCGTATAGGATTTTTTAAGTGTGAACCACAAGAAGGAACTACTATGGAGCTTATGGGTAGGGCTGTGAATCATAGAAACTAGCTATAGTACACCACAAAACCTTTATATAGGGGCCGTAATACTTGGCATAATATACCCCCGAACCCTAGTCTAATTACTAAGGCCCCTACTTGTGAAGGGCCTATCTTACCAGTTTCCGGCTCGCGACGTTTATCTAAAAGTGCTTAGGAAGACTGCGAGGCAACCCTCAACCCACCTTTTGCTCAATGGAGCACCAGCCCTAAAACCTACGGGTGATGACATATATCCTGCATTACCCATAATAAGGCATACACCAGAATGCCCATAGTTGAGGGTCCTTAAGGTAAATCAGAATTTATATCATCAGAAGTATGTCCGACTTGTTCTTGCTTCTGAAATTCGTTTCTGGTACTGTAAACCTAGGAGACTGAACAACAAATCTTTATGGACGCATTCCTACTGTTCACGGAATTAGGGGAATTCATATCTCCCGGTGCAAGGGCTCAACTCTAAACTTGAAGCCCCAGTGAAACCCTACTAAGCCGGAAAGAGCTTGGTCCTTATGGCATGGGTCTTAATTTGTCCAGCTTATTCTTCGTATAAGTCTTACTCCTGAAATTTTGCAAGTTTGAACAGAGGGTCCTGACATATAACCTCCGCAGGGGTCGTTACTGCAATTCTCCAATCAAGCGCTTGCGAGTACTGCACGCAGCATGGAAGCCTGAACGAATGTCAGCAGGCCGAATGCTTCGTCCCTGAAGAATCCAACGGGCATCGGCGGCAAAGCACGGGGCCTTGCTGACGGGCAGCCCCAGGCCCTACATCCGATAATGGCCCCAAGCCCAGAGACTCCAATATCCCTTAATTAAGACTCCTTAAATTATAGTAGGAACCCTTATATGATTTAAGGTCTATTCCTTAATTAAGGGGTATTGGAGTCTCTGGGAGGTTCAGGATGTTAGGATCGGGGTGTAGGGGCCCTGGCAGAGTAGACTATTTTTTGCCATGAGCCGCATGAGAAGGGCAGCATGGACGGTTTCACTTGCACCAACCAGTTGACGCACCACAGGGAGGGAGATGCCTCGCCATTTCTGTTCGAATCGAGAATCGATGAAAGCCGATGCATGGCATGAGTTCTCTTTCGGATTTCGAGGCTCGACCCGCGCCATGTTGGAGATGCCAAGAGTTCCTCTTGGCGCTCCAGTACACTTACTTTGCTTGAATTTCGAAACCTCTGTACCCGAAATGCTCAGTTCACAAAACTCGAAAATCGTGAACGTCCGAACTCCAAAGCCTAGCAGGCAGTTCAAGACCCACGAAGACCATCAGGAGTGCAGGGTTCGGAGTTGGTAGTTTTGTCACTGCAGTAGTTTAGGGGTCCACGGCACTGGCTCCCAGCACGAGTCCTTCTGATGCCAAAGGTCTCACAAAAAACTGGGTTCTGACCACGCAGTACTTGCATTTTCTGATGCTCCGAGTAGGGTATACCCCCGAAAGATGTGTCCTAATCATCCCAGGCACCCTTAAAGCCTAAATTTTAAAACCCTGCAAGCTCAACGGTAAGTATCATCCTCAGGTCCGGATCCCCGAGAATTGGTGCGCCAGCCTAGACCCCGCAGGGCTTAGGGCATTGCGGGCTAAGGGCTCCCTCAAGGGATCCCAATGAGAATTTAGGGTTTTCGGGTTCAGATTCTTGGGTTTAGGGTTACCCACCAAAACTACTATTTGCTTAAGAACCCCCAAAAAATAACAAATATATTCCTTATGGGGGTAATATAGGGATTATTATTTTTATTTTTTGGGGGTTTCTTAAGCAAATAGTAGAAAAGGTGCAAGAAGCCTTCTCAGGCATGTTGAAAGGGAGAGCTCCAGTCCTAAAAGAGGGTTGAGGGGCCAATAGAAGGGGCTTGACGATTAGAATAGGGTTTTGGGGCCCACTATACTACAATTACGTGGGCTAGCCTGGAACGGTTCGTTACCATATGCTCTGGGGCTGAGAATCATCCAGTAAGTACCCTTTAACCTCTTGGGGCTTTATGCAGGGGTTCCTTCAAGGGATCTATTAGAGTACTATAAGGGGGCAGAGGTAGTCTTTGACTTGTTGGTGTTTATATGTTCCTACCATAGTTGGAAAGGTTAACATTTGTTGGGCTAGGGTGCTCAGTCCCTACAGTTTACAGATCCTGACATTGACCCCTGAGCAGCTTGATTACCTAAACACGCACTAGATTCGCTTTACTGGTGCGGTTCGGGGCCTCGTCATACTCCCACACCACCAACCAGAAACACCCTTCCCATTAATATCGGGATCTAGATAATTACCAATACTATTTTGGGGGTTCCTGATTGTAAGTGTAGAAACAGTATACCCCAAAAGCCTATTCTACGTAATGTAAGCCCCTATATTAACCTCTGAATTATGGTGTCGTTTTTGCGGTGCTTGGACGAACTACAACATCCCCAAAATCCTGGACTGACTACTGATGCCTTTAGAGTACCTACAAAAACACAAGCCGCAAGGAACACAAACCCGCGCACTCCGAACTTCAAGGAGTTTCGGAAGTTCAACTGCACCTCGACAGAAGTTCCTCCGGGTGTTTGGTACTTTGGCTTAGGGTGAGGCTTAAGGGTTGAAGGGCTTTAAGATTAATGGTTGAGGGGTTTGGGGTTTAGGGTTTAGGGCAGGATTCTGCTCGGCGGGCTTAACTTGTAGTTGCGCGGAGACTCCACCAACTTCTTACGGATGCGTGTTATGATTTGAGGCTAAACCCTAAACCCCTAAACCCTAAACCCTAAACCCTATTTCTGAGGTTCGAGGGTCAGTTCCGGGTCTAGACGGCTGAATCGGTTTAGGGCTGTGTGGGGGCTGGGGTGGTAGGGGTGTGGGCGTTACGGTGTGGGACTGGTGATTCGTAAGCGGAGCTCGTCGTGAACCCCAGGAAACTCTGAACCCTGCACTCTTAGCCATAATAACGAGCCCTAAACCAACACTAGTAAGCCCTAAACCTGCAAACCCTACACCCCGAAACCCCAACCCGAAACTTTCAACCCTCAACCCCTAAACCCCTGAACCCTAAACCCCTAAACCCCTGAACCCTAAACCCCGAAACCCATAGCCCTAAACCCTAGACCATCCTTCATCCTAAACCCTAAGCCATCCTAAACGCTCAAATCCTAAACCCTAAACCCCGGCGTTAAGCCGAAGATATCACATC